GGGAGCCCCTAGGAGCTCCCACCGGATACCCCCCCAAGCTGATGCCATGCTGTCCACCCCCACAGATTCACCTCAGTCCAGAAAAGAGCGATTTTAATTTGAAAGCGATTTTATGTGCAAAGGAGAGGGGAAAGGACCCCAAGGAGAAGAGACTCGGGCAAAATTCATGCAGCCCGGAGCTCTGCAAGCTGGAGTCTCCCCAGTTATCAGGCCATTATCCGGGGTGACCAGCACTCAGCCCGGGCTGGAGCACGGCACAGGGGAAGGAGGCCCCGCTGCACCCATCTGACCACCCTGGCCCTGGGATCCCAGCCCAGGCCCCTGCCCAACCTAGACAGGAGGAAGGGCCAGCCAGAGGGCAGGCAAGGCCAGTGCCTGCGAGCCCAGGGCCAGACGGCCCCAGGGCCACTTTGCCCGAATACCCACGCCACCACTGGCATTTCTTAGTCAACCTGGGGAAGTACAGTACTTCTTTGAGTGTAACTGCAAGTCTATCCTCAGAGGGAATTAAAAATAGATGGGCTCCCACATCGGCACCGGCCCCTCCACCACCACCTTCCTCAGTCTGACTGCAGGACTGGGCAGGAGATCCGACAGCCCTCCCTCCTCCTGAGGCCCCCACCTGCCAGGTCTGGAGGAGGGCAGCCCTCAGGGTGGGCACTGCTTCCATGTCAATTTGGGGGGCCTGCCCCCCAATGCCCACCTCTGGGGAGTTCCCCATCTCCCCTCAGGTGAGTGAGGTCAAGAAAAGGAAGCAGGGTCCTCAGAGCAGGGCCAGTGCTCTGTGCCGGAGGAAAGACAGACAGGGTGAGAAATCACCCCAAACCACGGGAGACCCCCAACGCTTTAGAGACTCAAGGCCACCAAAGGAGACATCCAGGCCCGCAGGGACCTGCACCCCCGACAAGATACCAAGCTTGCTCCATGGTCGCCCCGGGGCCTTGTGGGTCTGTGCTATGCTCCTCGCCTGAGGTTTGGTCTGAGAATGCAGCCCCTCCCTCCCTGCCCCAGGACTCAGGTCCTCCTGGAGGGTGCCCCTCAGTGGCAGGAGTGGGCTCAGGCGAGCTGGTGGGGAGCCTCTAGCATCTCCATGAGGAAGGTGTCGATGGGGGTGTCACCAATGAGCTTGAAGAAAAACAGATGCTCGAGACACTTAAGGCCAATGGACCGGAGGGCAGGAAGACGAAGCAGCAGCTTGGCAAACCTGGGTGGAGGAGGGAGAACAGGAGTGAGAGGCGGCACTCGGGCCCTGAACATGCTCCCCACGCCCTGGCGCCGGGCCCTCCACGCCTCTCACCGTCCCTGCTGCTCAGGGTACTTCTGTTTGCAGTAGGTCTCCAGGGACGCGTACACCTTCTCCCGCAGGACCTCCACCTCGCCGGGGTTGGACAGGCCCTTGGCATCTGCCACGGCAGGGAAGACAGAGAGGGAGACGTGACCTACAGGATGCCCTCTTAGGGCTCCTCCGACTTGGCCTCTGCCTGACGCCTGGCGAGGGAAGCTGGGCCCGGGAGTTTGTGGGATGGGATCAGAGAGGGAACGGATGAGGCAGAAGCAGCCTTTTCTCCTGTTGGCTGAGACATTCCGGGCTGAGGGTCTTAATGAGGGGAACAGCTGAGTAATTCAGGAGTCTCCGGATCAAAGGAGGCACCGAGGCTGCCCTGGTCTTGGGGGTCGGCCATCTTCTTACCCGGGTTAAACAGAATGATTGCCCGCAGGCAGCCAAGCTCTGTCTTGTCCATCCTCATGTCCCGCATTTTGGACACTAGCTCCGTCAGCACCCTGGAGAGGGACCTGCAGGTCACTCAAAGGTCACAGCTCAGCCAGCCTTGGACTCGGACCAGCCTACAGCCCCACCCCCTTGGCTCACAGGGCAGCCCAGCCAGGGCCACTGACCGATCGAAGATGGCTCCCACGCCTGCGGAATGGGCCGAGCTTCGGTGCACATGGAGGCCCGTGGCAAGGAGGATCCCATCCCGGACATCGATGGACCGGTGGGAGAAGGAGGCGATGAGAAGCTCATTCCAGCCTAGGTGGGGCAGCGAGTGTCAGGAGCCAGAGGTCAGGCGTGGGGGCCACTGGGGCCTGGAAGTCAAAAGGCCAAAGAAGGGTCGAGTGTCCAGAGGTCAAAGGGGTTCAAGATCACTGACCTGCCCGCAGCAGTATGACCTGGTCATCCAGAGGCAAGGAAGAAAAGTGGGGGATCCTCTTCGCCCACTCAACGAGGGTGAACAGCTGTTTGTCAGCAGCCTGACAGATGTTAGTCACAGGGTCATTAGGCTGCAGGGGAAAGCGGGTAAGGTTGATGGGAGGTCTAGAGGTAACTGGGAGCTCCCTGTAAGAAGATCTGACCCCTCCTCAGATATAATCTCCCTGCAAGCCCACCGAAACCAATCCCGATAACTCGGGCTCCGCTCCCGGCATTCATGCAAACTATTATTTCTTTGGGACTGGCCTGTGGTTCTGCCAGGGGGAGTGTGGAGGGAGCGAGCGGCCACACCCACTTCAGCCCTCTCAGAGGCCTTGTTAGCCAGCACTTCCGGTCCCGGGCAGTGTGGAGGGTGGTGAGGAGGGCTGGGGGGACAGAACAGACCTAGAGTCCCTCCCGCCAAGCCCAGTCACAAAGGAGAAGAGGTCTATCGACCCCACCACTCACGCTGCTGCCACTACCCCCGGTTCCCCCGGGCCCCTCAACGCCCTGGTCACTCTTCTGCTCCACAGCGAGCTCTGCCTCCAGGATCCTGTCCACAGGCATCTCCTCGGGGGCTCCCCCAGCCCCCTCCACATCCCCGTCCTTGTCCTTCCCACGCTGCCGCTCCTCCTGCACTGCTGCGGGGATGGGGAGAGAGAAAACAGAAAGTCAGCGGCCAGCCACAAGGGGCTCTGAGCCATCCTGGGGTCTGCTCAGGGTCTGACTCTCCTGGGAAGTATTTATAGCAACTGGGGCATTCACTAGTAAAGGAGGACCAGATAGTCTGCAAGCAGAGGTTGCAAGAGGGCAGTCAAGAGGGCTACGGGGTTAGGGAGGAGGCCAGCGCTTAAACAGAGGTGGACTGTGTACTGGGAGACAAGCAGCCATGCTTTAACATCCACTGAAATCTAAGGAACCTGTGAGCTCGTTCCCACTTTTAAAGACAAAAGACTTGGGGCTCAAAGCAGTTAAATAGCTTGCCTAGATCCGCACAATACCTCGCAGGTCACCTATCTGAATCCAAGCACACCTGACAATGCCTATGCTCTGCCGACTCCCTAAGAATCACGGCAGGACAATGGGCCCTGCCTGGGGATTCAGAGCTGTGAGTCCTGATCGCGGCCTTGCCGCTCTTTCACTGCAGGACCTCAGGAAAGCCAGGCCTCAGCCTCCTCCCCTTTAAAGGAGAGGTTAACAAAGGGGCTCTCTCAAGAGTTTCTCTCACATCTCTAGGGCCAGACTTAAGATGGAAGGCAGCACTGAGGTCTTCGGTGAGGTCTGCAGCTCAAGCAAGCAGAGACTCTGGGATCAGAGCGAAGATCACAGAGAACTGGAGACAGCCAAGAGGAGGGACCACCGTGGTGGGGGAGACACAGAAACCCATCATCACTGAGAAAGGCCGTCCTACCCTAGGACTAGACTGGGCTGGGAGTGGTCCTGGTGGAGGCCGCAGAGAACCATCCACTCCAAACTCAAGGGAAGAACCAGAGCAGGGACCAAGGGGAAGACTAATGGGAGGGAAGCGCAAACATCGCCCCCCAGGACACAGCGAGCTGTAGTCCCTCACTCCTGTGCGACAGGAGAGCAGGGGCTTGTGGCAGGCCCTTACCCTCCCTCTTCATGCCGGTGGCCAGGCACTTCTGATAGCGGCAGTACTGACAGCGGTTCCGCTGGCGCTTGTCCACCGTACAGTCTTTGTTGTCCCGGCACGAGTAGGTCAAGTCCTTGCGGATAGTGCGCTTGAAGAAGCCCTTGCAGCCCTCGCAGCTGTAAACCCCATAGTGTTTGCCTGCAAGGGCACGGAACTGCAGTGAGGGGCTGTGCCCACCTCGTCCCAAGTCTCTTACCAGTCGTCCCCACCCCAGGCTCAGTCCAAGGCCTCCCTGTGATTGCCAAATTTAGACGAGAAACCAGGGGAGGGATGAGCAGCATCACCCTCGGTCAGAAACGCTGTGCTGGGCCCTCTGTCCCTCTGACATCCCACATCTGAGCTCCTCCAGCCTCCCAACCCCAGGAGCCAGGGAATCCTGCAGGTGATAACCAGCCCAGACTCCCTTCCTTGTGCCCATGCTCTGAGCTCCATACCTGAGCTTCGGTCCCCGCAGATTGCACACAGCCGTTTGCCAGCCCCAGGGCCACCTGGAGGGGGTGGACAGTGCAGGCCCCGGACCCCTAAGACTGGTGGCTTCACATCTTCAGGGGTGCCAGACCCACCCCCAGGGAGCGACACTGTTGAGTTAATCTGGGGTGGGGGAAATAGGGAAGTCACAGGGAGACGCATTGGGAAGGAGAACCTCAGAGCTCCTGGAAATCACTCCCTACCACTAGCAGAGCCCTGCCCCGCACATTCCAGAAGGCAGTGGTTACACTGCAGCCTAGTGAAGGGCCACTCTGGGACAGAGCACAACCCCACAGAGAACAGACATAAACAGCTCTCCCCTGAAGCTGGGTGACACAGAAGCCCTGAAGGGCTCGTGTCTTGGAAGAGCAGATGAGAACAAAAGGGCATAAAATCAGATAGCTGAAAGGGATATCAAAAGTATGGGGGGGGACAGGTGTGGTGGCGCACACCTGTCATTCCGGCACTCAGGAGGCTGAGGCAGGGCGATCGCTGTGAGTTCGAGACCAGCCTGGGCTACATAGTGAGTTCCAGGTCAGTCTCAACTACACAGTGAGACCCTGTTACCGGGGGAGCTGTTAAACAGTCACAGGCTTGAGGAGGAAGCATGCACTGGAACATCAGCCACCTCAGGACGGGCCTGGGGTCTCATGAGCACCATAGGCCCGCTGGAACTAGAGGACCCAAAGGTCCATGGGCCATGAGAAGCCACAAAAGCATCTCGGGAACAAGGAAGTGAAAATGGGCAGGCAGTAAGTGGGTCACAACCTCTCACCTGGGGGCTGCTGACAGGCCCGGAGAATCCTGGGGGAGCTGGAGGGGGCAGACCAGGGGACCCCATGGAAGAACTGATGACTGGGAATGGGGAGCCCAGTGGCGGGGGGAGGGGGGGCCCCGGAGCCCACAAAAGAAGAGGCTGAAGGGGGCAGCGGAGGTCCAGGAGGAGAAGGTGGAGGAAGCCCCTGGGGCAGGGGATTTGGCGAGGAGCTGTCCGGGCTTCTGGAGTCTGAGGGAGGGTACACACAAGCACAGAGACACACAGAAACAGGGGAGATAAGAATGTGAGTCTCCAATCATCCACCGGGGGCTCTGATTCTCCAACCTCCTCCCACCTTACCCTCAGCCCATCCCAGGCCACCATGCCCAAGTCCCGAAATATTCTCAGTTGTCAAGTAGTTTAACTCCTAACTGGCGAGAACGGGTTGACCAAAGAGAAAGCGGATAGATCGATCAGGCGAAGAAACACTCCGAGCAAAGCATATGAATGAATACCGGGTCACCCCACGCCGACCTGTCTCGTGGGTGGGGCAGCACGTGGGGTGGACCGACCAACCCCCCCTCCCATTACCAGCTTAGAGCCAGGGAGCCAGAGAGTGCAGAGGAAAGAGGCGGAAGAGACCCTCCTAGGAAGCAGCAGCTGCCTTCCAAAGTCCAGAGTCCTCAAGCTCAAGGCGGATCGTGTCCTTCCCACGCCCCGGACCTCGGGCGAGGGGCCTCGGCTGGGAGGGCGGAAGCTCCCCC